TCCAATGCGCCCCACTGGCCGGGTGGTTCTGACAGCCCATGATGAGCGCGGACGCACCCGCAAACGTTGGGCCGCACCAGGGAGCATCAATCCGCTGGCGATAAGGCACCGCATCGGTGTCGTTGAGGCCCTTAAACTTATGCTGCTGAATACTCATGGCGCGGTTCTCTCCCCACTGGACAATTGAGGCGAGGATGGGCCCGTCGTGTTGGTCGTGCTCCAGGCACAGCTTCACCCGCTCGCAACTGTACTTGAGGCGCAGGCCCATGCGCTGCGTGCCCGGCTCAGGGTCTGGGTCGTGACTGGTCGCCTCGGCGTAAACGTCCTCCCCATAGCATGAGCGTGTGGAGACTGCCCCCAGCGTACTCTGCGCTGCGGCCTTGCCACTGGCGGCCGCCGCCAACGGAGTGCGTCCGGGTAGGCTTTCAAAGATGGTGCGCACCTGGCTGTCCCCAAGAAAAAGTGCGGAAGTCGTCGTCTGCCGCTTGGGGTCCTGCGTTGACCTCAGGCAGGCATGGACGCGCTCGGGGCCATCGAGTAGCTGCCAGCCCTTTAGATGCGAAGGTTCACATCGGGGAAACGCGCGCCATTCAAAGTGTGTCAGGTTGAGTGCCCACGGCATTGCGTCGAAGCCAGCGAAATTGCCGCCACCAAAGCAGGGTCGCACTTCCTCCCGCACCCAGGGCTCGTTGTCATCGTAAGGCCACACCCAGCGGCCCCACGGCGAGCATCCGGGGAAGGCGGGCATCCTGCGAGTCGACAGATGTTCCCAGGACGAGTGAACCACCACAAACTGCATTTTGTGCCACACAGGCGTCGACTCGTCCACCGCGGCGCCACTGCCTTGGTGCGTCTGTGCGATGCTGAGGCGGTATCGCCCAGAACGCCCGATGTGATACTCAGCCGTGTAGATGCAGCCGCCGTGGTGCCGCCCGAGCGCGTGGGCCAGTTCATGGCCCTCTGCAAACAGCTCCCATCCATCGGGGCCGAACGAGCGCATCAGCTCCGCGCTGGTGCCAGCGTCGTCGGAGAGGACCAGATTTGTGTTGCAGGCGGCGCCAGCTCGAGGCCGTATCACAAACCGTCCTGCAGCGCGGTCATGCTCGATGATGCGAGACGCTGTGCATGCCCAGGCGGTGGCACACTCTGTGCTGTTGGCGTGCAATGCGGTTTTGAACTGAGCGGTTTGGCCGGCCACCTTGCGCGTGTGCTGCAGCATTTTGGCCGTTGCATTCGCAGCACCCGCGCAGTTGAACGCATCATAGGCTCGCACGCTGAAGGCGTTTGGCGGCATGGTCGCAGTGACCGTGCGCGCCCCGGCGCCACTGCGCTCCCTCATGCTCCCGCAGCTGCAGGCCCCGCTCTGGCGCATGTTAGACGAACGGGGGGGAGACACGACGTTATCGCCCCGTGCAGGCGGAGGCTCACACGACCCTCGCGAGGCGCTTAGGCGGCGCCACGCGTCAGCATGCTCTTCTTGAGCTTCAGGATGCCCTCGTGGACTGCTCACCTACCCCGATGGTGTGCACGCTCTAGCCACCGCCTGCATGTGCTGAACAACCTCCTTGCCTGCATGGACGCCAATGATATCATATCCTTTTCTCGACACTACCCCAACACTACAGGCGGCGTCCAAGGTGGGCGCGCCACCTTCCGTGATAGCAGGGGCAAAGGCAACACGTTCCTCACGTGTAACCCTACAGTTAGAGCATATGTCTTCGGCCCCCCATGATGAGATTGACAGATTGATCTTAGCCGCTCCCATTTCAACCACTGTCTAGGCTCCTACCGTCTGACACGGCGTGCCTCGCCCATCTCTATGTTGCGTTACACCTCTGAACAGGCCACTTTCGAGAATGACATTGCCCAGGAACTGCGCGCTATCCCGTATCCGTCCTAGCCTCCTTGTACCTTGTAGGGACTTGCAGCAAGCTTCCGATGCGGCTGGAATCTCTCCGACAAGGCAGAGGGAGAGAATGCGCGGCAATGTGGTGACCCCCTCTCTGCTGGCGATACACACGCGACACGACGGGTTGGTACACGAAATGGGTCGTTGGTTAATAGTATCTGTGAATTGTCTGTTTAGTGGTGGGCTGGGGTTCGAAGTGAGTGTTCGACTTCGAGGTGCCGCAGGATAGGATCAACGGAGCCGACCTAAATAAGGCGGCAGTTCCCTACGCGGCAAGGAGCCCGAACCCTGTGTTTCGCGCTCTTGTGCCGCCGGCCGCCGTGCCGCCGCCGCCGCCGCCGTCGCAACCCGTCATCACCCAACCAGATTTGCCCACCACCACCAGAAGCTTAGCCATGTCCTCCATCTTCTCGGGCAACCAGCCGCCTCCGGATCTGGCCACTAGAGACGAGACACGAACGGGCGGCACGAGGCGTGCCTTTCTAATCGCCGTGCTCGCTTCCTCGCTCGGCGTGGCGACTACGCCGGGGAGCCCGTGTTCTTCTCGAGCCAGTTCTCGGTCAGCGAGTTCACGGGGCACAAGCAGATGTACGCGCTGCTCAAACATCCGTGCGCGGGCGTGAAGAGCGGCCACTACTCCTCCCTCCTTTGGTACCTTGGTCAGCTCGAGGCGCAGCACCACGGCCGGCTGTGGGCGAGTCGGGACGGAGAGTACCCAACCTCTCCTGCCACACTCTGCGCGCTCGCGCACGGCAGCACCGAGCGCACGACCGAGCTCGGAAGCTCTTCTCGTACTCGGCAGTGCTGCGCGAGCCGGTGTGTCTCCTCATCGACGCGGAGTGGGAGCGCTACGTCGCTGCGGCATGGCAGCACCCTCCTGGCTGGCGATGCCTTGGCGACGTCAAGGGCAGCTACATCGCAGGGCTAGAGTCGCATCTGCGCGGCATCTGCCGAGTGCTCATGCCGATTGCGATCGCAAAGCACGACACGTGCTTCGCCTCCGGCCGCCTCTCTCTCGTGCTGCTCCGCGCGCTCCACACAGTCGCGGCGCGCGGGATCGAGAGCGAGACGGCGGTGTCGCTGCGTGCGGCCTGCCAGGTGTTGCACGAGGCTGTTCTTCAGCATCGGCTTGCTCGTAGCGAGTGCGAGAAGTGCATGCGGCTTCAGTCGGAGTTCTCCGTGCTCATCAACGAGGAGTACCGGCGGCACAGTGCCGACGCAACCTCTGCTCGGCATGCAGGGCAGCGAGCGCGACGCCTTTCTCTCTTCCTTGGATGAGGCCCCGCCCGGCCTGGTCTCCCTGCGCACGCTGTGCCTCCGCATTGTCGCACGCTCTCTGCGTGAGGAGGGGCGAGGGGCCGAGTCGCCTATTCAGATGATCGATCCTCGCTCGATCCCTCGCTCCTTTCAGAAAAGCAAGTTGTGCGAGTGCCCACATCCTCCGCCCGTCTGCCGCGGCGCCTTCGACCGATGCCGGGACCCTTTGCACAGAAAACCGTTCGTCGCCATCTCGTCTGGAACTCATCCGTGATGCAGTTCCAGCTGGAGCAGTGCAGCCAGCCGTGCGGGCAGTCAGCTGCGGAGCAGATCGCCACGGTGATGCGTGCCGTGAGGCGTCTCGATGATCCAGACGCGCCGCGCCCGCGCGATGCGCGCGATGCTGCCCACGCTCTCGAGCCAAATCTGCCCAAACCCGGAATTTGGGTCGAGGCAGATGCTGATGCTATTGAGGATGCGCTTGTCCAGCGCCGAGCCACCGCGCAACGACCGCGCTTCTGCCACTGCTACTTCCGCGCGAGTTGCGATGGCTCGTGTGAGCCTAAGGATCCGTGTGAGGAGGATCGCAGGCTTGCAGAACTGAAAGCGTCGCACGACTGGCTCGCTGGGCTGGACGGTCCGGTACGTCTTCATGTCCGCTACTGTCACAGCACCAACCGCGTAGTTGGCTACGAAGGGTTTCAACACCGGAAGTTTAACTGGGACCTCGAGCCTGCGCAGACATTCCTAGGCAAGTGGGAATATGGCGACTACTTTGTGATGGACCATCATGCTGCAGAAGACATTTATCATCTCAGAGACAACCTCGACTTTTTCCAGACGCCTTTGGATGCTGCACTGCGGGTAGTCGAGATGCGGGGCGACTACCAGCTTCCGACCGGATGGCGGTGGGACAGTGAGTGCGGTCCTGTGCCTCCACCATCGCCGCTGCCAACGCCACCGCCGCTGCCGCCACCGCCGCGTGTTGTCGCCGGCTACACACAGCTACCAGATGTGCACGCTAGCAACCCGACTGGCTCCTTTTCCATCTTCAGGCGCCCAGACGAGGGCACATGGCTTTTTGGGGTTAGAGATCATGTGCCCATAGCTGCCCTACTGCCCCGAGTCAACCGCTTTGAAGAGCTCCTGTCTTGGGCTGAGGAGCGCGCCGCTGCCAACGGCATCACTCTGCCCTACCAGCAGCCCGGGTTCAAGCCTGAATCAGTGATGCCGCCGGTTCGCACCCCGGCCGCCGCCGCTCGCTCGGCCGCCGCCGCTAGCTCCAGCTCAGATGATCCTCTAGATCTCCCCCCTCTAACCGCTGATGGGCCGGTGTCGATGCAGCTTCCTGAGCCTGAAGGCGAGGAGGAGCTTAGCTTTATGGACTCGGTGTTCTGTGACCCCCCGCCCGCCTGAGGACGGTGACTGACTTCTAGCTGTGTGTATCGCGCGCCTTGCGGGGCTGTCGCGGTGTGTGCGCTAATACCGCGCAAAAGGGCTTTACCCGCGCAGACGCAGATACTCTGCAGCGCCGCCGCGGCTCCCCACCCTTTTGCGCAGCAACACCTTAAACTTTTCAGGCCCTCCAAATTCGGGTCGGAGCGTAGCGGAGTGGGCCCCGAGTTTGAAAAGGGCGACGGACGCTTGCGTCCTAGCCTCCAACAACGCCTCCCCGGCGCAGAGGGGCCCCCGGAGGGATGCACAACCGACCCACGCCACACGCCGCTTGCGGCGGTCCTCTTCCCAGCTCCGCTGAGGGCCCGTGCGTTATAGAGCTCTATTCTTTGGCGCGAAGCCGCTGACAACTGCCGACGTTCGTGCATGTGCATGTACAATGTCCGCCGTCGAGACGTTGTGCGGCGCGCTGGACGATCTCCCGGCGTCCGTCTCGACCCACTACGGCTCTCTGCTCGACGAAGCACGCGAGGAGGTCGCACGGCTTCGGCGACTCGCCAACGAGCTGCAGGTGCCGCCCGCCCCCGCTCTCGCAGCACAGCCAGCCCGTGTGCAGCGCTTGCGTCCAGCCGAGCCCCTTCTCCGCCGCGGTTGGCAGGCGGAGCTCAGCGAGCTGGACTCCGCCGTGGACGCGTCGCGAGCACGGCAGTTGCGGACGCCATCAAGCGTCGGGCCGAGCTCCGAAGCGGCGGCCGCCGCGGTGCTGGTCGGGCGGCTCGCTGCCTCGGAGGCGGAGGCGGCGGCACAGCGCCAGAGAGCCGATGAGGCAGAAGCGCAGCTGCGGCAGGCTCGGGACGAGCTCACCGCTGCTCGGGCCACCCCGCCGCGCGAGGTTGCGACGCGGCTGCGCGCACAGCTTGAGGGCCTGGCACGGCAGCGGCGCGTCGAGGCGCCAGAGCGCGCCCGTCGTCGGAGGACCCACCCGCTCGCCCTTCACCCGCCGCCCGGCGCCGCCCGCAGGCGTCTCGCATGGCCAGCTGGGAGCAAGAGCGGCGGAGGCTCGACGCCAGCCAGCAGGCGCTGGCCGAGGGCTGTGGCCCCGGAGCGAGTGCCGAGGCCGCGGCGGCGGCGGTGGCGACGGCTGCGTACGTGAGCGCGCGGCAGCGGGAGCAGGGCAGGGTCCCCGCCGCCGAGCCCCTCTCCCTCCAGCGGGCCGCGCCGGAGGCGGAGTCGGCTTGTGAGGCGGGGTCGCGTCTGGCAGCGGCGGAGGCCGCTGCGGCGGAGCTGCGCGAGTCGCTTGCGGCGGCGGAGGGCCGGCTGGCGGCGGCGGAGGAGGAGGCCCATCGTCTTCGCGGTGCGCTCGAGGACGCCACGAGACAGCTCGCAGCGGAGGTGGATGCGGCGGCGGCGGCGGAGGTGAGGATCCTTCGAAGACTCTCTTCTCGGACAGCTCTCGGACCCTTCTCGGAGCCTTCCTGCAGGCGGCCGAGGCGCGGGCCGTGGCGGCCGAGGCGGAGCTCGAGGTGGCGCAGGAGCTGGCGGCCAAAGAGCGCGCCGCCAGGCAGGCGGCCGCTGAGGCGGCGGCGGCGCTGCGGGCTCGGCTCGAGGAGATAGATGCTGTGTATACCCCGACTCGAGAGGAGCGCTCGCATCGCTGCTGCACTCCATTGCTAAACTCTGGCCACTGTTCGGCGGCCCGTGGATTCGCGCGAGGATCCGGACTCCATCCTTCATGCACACGCTCACTTTCGTCTCTCCACATCGCAGGGTCGATGCTGCGGACGGTGCTCTCGAGGTCTCGAGGGCGGCGCTCGAGGCGTCCAGGGATGCCCTGCAAGGCGCAGAGGCGTCGGCAGGGAGGGGGCAGGAGGCGGCCCGCGCCGACGAGGCGCGGGATGCGCACGAGCGCTCCATCTTGGCGCTCGAGATGGCGTCGCTCGAGACCGCTCTCAGCGCCGCTCTCGAGGCGGCGGCGGCAGACGCCAGGGCGGCGCTTGCCTGCTCCTCCTCGCGGCCCGGTGCCCTCACGGCAGAGGCGGCAACGGCCGTGCCGGAGGCGGCAGCGGCTCCGGCGGCCACGGCGGCCGTCGTTGAGCACGTGCGGCCGCTCGCCGGCGGCGGCAAGCAGCTCCTCTCGCACGCCTCCGCCGCAGGGCCGTTCGCACCACTGGGCAGCGGCGATTCGCTGTCCGGTGAGCACTCTGCCCTCTGCGGTTGCGGTGGCAGCCACCACCCCTCGCCCCTCGCCCCCCCTTCCCCCTCCCTTGGCGACCGTGCCGAAGCCTCCCCCGTCGTCGTTGTCTCGGGGCAGGCGCGACCGCCGAGCTCGAGGCGGAGCGCGAGCGGCTGATGGCGTGTCTGGAGCTCCACTCGGGCCTCTGCAGAGAGCAAGAGGAGCGCATCGCACAGCTGGAGGCGCAGGCGGCGGCAGGCGGCGGTGAGGCCGGCGGCGGTGGCGAGGCCGCCGGCGGCGGCGACGTGGCCGTCAGCGTGGAGCCGCTCCCGACCGACACGGGCTGGCGAGCACCGCGGCCGTTCGCGGCGGCCGCTGCTAGCAAAGAGGCCGAGGCGGACGCAGAGGCGAGCGTGCAGCTCGCCGGCCGACATCCCGCTGTGGCGGCCGCAGGGCGACTCAGCGAGGAGGGCTGGGACAGCCCGCTGCGCGGCTTGGTCGCCAGCCGAGAGGCGGCGGCGTCGAGCAGGGGCACGGCGTGGGACAGCCCGGTGCGCTCGCTCGCGCCGTGGCAGCCGCTCTCGGATGCCCACCCTCGGACGGCTGCTGCGCTGCCGCGCGACGCGTTGATGCCACCGCCAGCAGAGGACGTGCACTCCCCGGCCTCGTCAGCCGGTGACGAGCTCTCCTGCCTCCTCCACCCCACCCCACCGCCCCACTCGCTCCTGCCCGCAGCGCCGTTCGCCCGGGATCTCGTCGACGGAGCCGCCGGCTTGGAAGATGCGGGCAAGGCCCTCTGGCGGGGCGTCGAGGCGGCGGCCGCCGCTGCAGAGGCTGCGGCGGCGGCGGCGGCGAAGTCGTCGAAGAGGCTCACTGCGCGGCCCGCCAATCCGCTGCCCATGCTCGCTTACGACGCTGGCGAGAGCGCGGCCGCGGCCGGCGTGGCGGCTGCAGCCGGCGCGGCGTTGTCAGCCGAGGAGGCGATCTCGATCGATGCGCAGCTCGCTCAGATCGAGGCCAAAGCGATGGCTCTTCTCGGCCACAGGGAGGAGCTAGCCGAGGCAAAGCACGCCGCCTCCGAAGCGGAGGCGCGGCGTGCAGCAGCGGAGGCGGCCGGCGAGGCGCGGGAGGTGTCGCTGCAGGCAGCGGTGGCGCAGGCGGCGGAAGTGGAGGAGCGTGCGATGCGTGTGTTGCGCGAGCAGGAGTCGCTTCGTGCGAGCGCGGCGGCGGCGGAGGCGTCGCGTGTGGCGGCGGAGTCGGAGTCGGCGCGGCTGCGCGAGGCGCTTGCGGCGGCGTCGGCGCAGGTGGAGGCGGCGGAGGCGGGTGCCGAGTCTGCGCGTGCGGAGGCGGAGGCGCAGTCGGGCTGGCTGCAGAGCGCGCTCGAGGCGGAGGCTGCGCGGGCCGCGTCGGAGGCGGAGGCTGCGCTGTCGGCGCGGGAGGCGGGGTCGCGTCTGGCGGCGGCGGAGGCTGCTGCGGCGGAGCTGCGCGAGTCGCTTGCGGCGGCGGAGGGCCGGCTGTCGGCGGCGGAGGAGGCGGTGGCTGAAGTTGAGGCTCTACGCGAGCTGCTCAAGGCGCACGAAGCCGGCAAGGCGGAGGCAGAGGCGGCACTCGCTGCAGCAGCGCAAGGCACGGCCCTGCTTGAGGCAGAGTCCTCCGCTCGGGCGATGCGTTTGCAGCAGCTCACGCTTGCTGAAGCCGCGCTCTCAGAAAGCGCGCAGGCGGCACACGCGGCGCGCGACGCGGCACACGCTGAGCTCCAGTTGGCCAATGAAGCAGCCATGGCGAACAAGGCCGAGCTCAAGGCGCGGCTGCAAGCGATCCGCGAGGCGGCCGAGGTGAACGAGGCCGAGCTCCGCTTGGCGGCCGACGAAGCGGCGAGCCATTGCCGGGCGCTGCAGGTCGACCTCGAGGTGGAGCGTGAGGCGCGGCATGCAGCGGCCGCTGCAGCAGAGCAGGCGTGCGCAGAGGTCGAGCGGCTGCAGACGGATCTGCAGGCAGAGCGGGTTGCGCGGTGTGCGGCTGACAGCGAGGTGGAGAGGGCATGTGCAGAGGTGGAGCGGTTGCAGGACGATCTCGAGGTGGCGGCTCGCCAAGCAGAGGTGGAGGTGCTGGAGGCCGTGGCCGAGGCGCGGCGATTGGCCGAGGGAGGGGAGGCTCAGTCGCCATCGGCGGAGCTCACGCCGCACAAGTTCAATCGCAAGGCGCGGCTCTTGCGCGCGCGATCTGGATCAGACGCCAACAGTGCCACGCGGGCGGCCGAGCTGGCAGGCGCGTTGGACGCGCCCAGGCGACGCCGGCGGCATTGGCAAACGGAGAGCGACGCCGAGGCTGAGCGCGCACTGCACGTGGAAGTGGAGGCGTTGCGCGCGGAGGCGTTCACGTCCAGGCAAGCAACACTGGAGGCGGAGACGGAGCGCTCAGTTGCGGAAGCCGAGGTGTCACGGCAGCAGGAGCGCGCAAAGGATCAGGCGAGGCAGGCCGAGATGGCCGAGGCAGAGCTGCGCAAGCAACTGTCGGCGGCGGAGGAGGCGGAGCGCGCCGCGCGTGCGGAGGCCCTCTCGTTTCGCGAGGCGGCGGCCGCCGAGGCTCTGCAGCTGCGGGCCGAGGTGGATGCGGCGAGGGCGCACCCGCCGACGCCGCTGCGCGAGGAGCTGACGGCGGTGCGGGCCCGGGCGACGGAGCTCGAGGCGGCCGCCACGGGCGCCGAGGCCGCGGCGGAGGAGCGGGTGGCGGCGTCGGAGGCGTCGCGTGCGGCGGCGGAGTCGGAGTCGGCGCGGCTGCGCGAGGCGCTTGCGGCGGCGTCGGCGCAGGTGGAGGCGGCGGAGGCGGGTGCCGAGTCTGCGCGTGCGGAGGCGGAGGCGCAGTCGGGCTGGCTGCAGAGCGCGCTCGAGGCGGAGGCTGCGCGGGCCGCGTCGGAGGCGGAGGCTTCGCTGTCGGCGCGGGAGGCGGGGTCGCGTCTGGCGGCGGCGGAGGCTGCTGCGGCGGAGCTGCGCGAGTCGCTTGCGGCGGCGGAGGGCCGGCTGGCGGCGGCGGAGGAGGCGGAGCGCGCCGCGCGTGCGGAGGCCCTCTCGTTTCGTGAGGCGGCGGCCGCCGAGGCTCTGCAGCTGCGGGCCGAGGTGGATGCGGCGAGGGCGCACCCGCCGACGCCGCTGCGCGAGGAGCTGACGGCGGTGCGGGCCCGGGCGACGGAGCTCGAGGCGGCCGCCACGGGCGCCGAGGCCGCGGCGGAGGAGCGGGTGGCGGCGGCGGAGGCGTCGCGTGCGGCGGCGGAGTCGGAGTCGGCGCGGCTGCGCGAGGCGCTTGCGGCGGCGTCGGCGCAGGTGGAGGCGGCGGAGGCGGGTGCCGAGTCTGCGCGTGCGGAGGCGGAGGCGCAGTCGGGCTGGCTGCAGAGCGCGCTCGAGGCGGAGGCTGCGCGGGCCGCGTCGGAGGCGGAGGCTTCGCTGTCGGCGCGGGAGGCGGGGTCGCGTCTGGCGGCGGCGGAGGCTGCTGCGGCGGAGCTGCGCGAGTCGCTTGCGGCGGTGGAGGGCCGGCTGTCGGCGGCGGAGGAGGCGGAGCGCGCCGCGCGTGCGGAGGCCCTCTCGTTTCGCGAGGCGGCGGCCGCCGAGGCTCTGCAGCTGCGGGCCGAGGTGGATGCGGCGAGGGCGCACCCGCCGACGCCGCTGCGCGAGGAGCTGACGGCGGTGCGGGCGGAGGCGGCGGCGGCTGCGTCGGCCCTTTCCGCCGCGGAGGCGATGAGCGCGCACTTGGTTCGCCTTGCCGAGTCAGCCGGCGAGGCGCGGGAGGTGTCGCTGCAGGCAGCGGTGGCGCAGGCGGCGGAAGTGGAGGAGCGTGCGATGCGTGTGTTGCGCGAGCAGGAGTCGCTTCAGGCGAGCGCGGCGGCGGCGGAGGCGTCGCGTGTGGCGGCGGAGTCGGAGTCGGCGCGGCTGCGCGAGGCGCTTGCGGCGGCGTCGGCGCAGGTGGAGGCGGCGGAGGCGGGTGCCGAGTCTGCGCGTGCGGAGGCGGAGGCGCAGTCGGGCTGGCTGCAGAGCGCGCTCGAGGCGGAGGCTGCGCGGGCCGCGTCGGAGGCGGAGGCTTCGCTGTCGGCGCGGGAGGCGGGGTCGCGTCTGGCGGCGGCGGAGGCTGCTGCGGCGGAGCTGCGCGAGTCGCTTGCGGCGGCGGAGGGCCGGCTGGCGGCGGCGGAGGAGGCGGAGCGCGCCGCGCGTGCGGAGGCCCTCTCGCTTCGTGAGGCGGCTGCCGCCGAGGCTCTGCAGCTGCGGGCCGAGGATGCGGCTGCCAGCGCGCTGGCCTTCGACACGAGCCTCGACCGTGCGTTGTGAGTTCCGCCCAATCTAGCGTGCCACTCTCGGCCGTTCCTATCGCTCTCTATTCGACAACGGTTGCCCCTCTCACCTTCCGTTTCTGCATCCCAGGACGGCAACGGCTGCGGAGGCGTTGCGAGCCGAGGCAGCCGAGGCGGCCAGACAGCGGCTGGCGCGGGGTCATTCTGTGGCGATGGAACGGGCCGACGAGGAAGCCCGGGCGTTGCGGCTTGAGGCGGATTGGGCGGCCGCCGAGCAGCAGGCGCTGAAGCGGGCGGTGTCCGAGACTGAGGGGCAGCTGGCCGCTGCTGAGGCTCGTGCTGCTGCGGCTGAGGCGGCCGCGGCGGATTGGGACAGCCAGGCTAGCGTGTTTGCCAGCCGTGAGGCACACCTGACCGGCTTGCTGGAAGCCGCTGAGAGGAGGCGTATCGCGGCAGAGGCCGACGCCGCGGAATGCCGCTCTGCCTTGGAAGGCGCCACGGAGGAGCGCACGCGGTCGGTCGTTTCGGCACAACTTCTGGCAATGTCGGAAGCCGGCCTCCGCTCGTCCCTCGCGGCAGCGGAGGCTTCGTGGTCAGCAGCAGCAGCTGAGGTGGAGTCGCTGGGCGCGTCCCTACGGCAGGAGGCCGCGCGCGCCGCCGAGTTGGAGGCCGCTCGCGTCTCTCTGATGGGCGAAGTGGCTCAAGCGCAGCAGGCGCTGACTTCTGCCACCGAGCAGCATGCTCGCGAGATGGAGGCGGCCCTCGCCGCGGCCGCGGCACGCGAGCGCCATGCATTGGTCGAGGCGAGGGCCGTGGCGGCGGAGGGCCGTGCGGATGCGGCGGCCGCCGCCGCTGCCGCGGCGGCTGGAGGCAGCAGCGAGATTGTGGCGGCGCTTCAAGCGGCCCACAAGCAGTCGCTCGAGGCGACGTCTGCCGCCCATGTCTCCGAGCGCGCCGCAGCGGTGGCCGAGGCGATTTTGGCTCATGATCGGGAGCGGCAGGAGGCAGCGGCGGCGGCGGCAGTCCAGGCTGAGCGGGCGGCGGCGATGACGGAAGCGGCGGCGGCAGCGCTAAAGGAGAAGGAGACTGCGGTTTCGCAGATGCGGGCAGAGGTGGACAAGCTGCGCGGGACGCTCTCTTCGACCATCCAGGAGGCGCAGCGCGCGTCCGACGCAGCCGACGCGAGGCACGCCACGGAGGTTGCTGCGGTGCGCGCTGAGGAGAGGAACACGGCCGTGGAGGAGCGGCGGGCAGCTCTCGCCGAGGCGGAAGTGGCGCACGGGGACGCCCTTGCGCGTGTGGAGCGGGAGCGCTCCGCGGCGGCGGCGGTTGCGGCGAGCGAGCAGTTTGCGCTCGAGCGCGAACGGCACCAAGCGGCTTTGGAGTCCCAGGCGGCGGCGGCCCTTGCAGCCAAGGAGACAGCGCTGACGGAGGCGCTCGCACACGCAGCGGAGGGGAGCCGGGTGGCAGTTGCCGCAGCGATTGCGGAGAGGGACGCAGCCTTGGCTGCGACGGCAGAGCGCGCTGATGCGGCGTCGCTGGTCGCAGCAGAGCTCGAGGCCACGCGTTCAGAAAGGGACGACGCTGTTGCAGTCGCCAAGGAGGCGACCGATGCGCTCTTAGCTGCGACGGAGGGAGCGCGAGTCGAGTCGGACGCCGGGCCGACGGATATGGCCGCCGTTGTGCAGCAGCGCGCTCTGCTCAGCGAGCTGTCTCTTGCCGAAGAGCGGGAAGAGGCGGCGGCGGCCATGGCGGCGGCGGCGGTCGCTTCTGCGTGGGAAGAGGGTCGATCTGCCGGCAAGGAGGAGGCAGCCGCATCGACAGCGCAGGCCCTCGAGGAGGAGCGGGCGATGGCGCATCTGGTCAGGCTCGAGGCGGCGGGAGCCTTTGCGGATGATCGGCGTCGGGCAGTGCTGGAGGCAGTCGGTCAAACCGAAGGTCGGCTAGGAGCGGCTCTGGAGGAGGCTGGCAGCCTCCGCACGCGGCTGGCTGCGGCGGAGGAGGCGGAGCGCGCCGCGCGTGCGGAGGCCCTCTCGCTTCGTGAGGCGGCGGCCGCCGAGGCTCTGCAGCTGCGGGCCGAGGTGGATGCGGCGAGGGCGCACCCGCCGACGCCGCTGCGCGAGGAGCTGACGGCGGTGCGGGCGGAGGCGGCGGCGGCTGCGTCGGCCCTTTCCGCCGCGGAGGCGATGAGCGCGCACTTGGTTCGCCTTGCCGAGTCCGCCGGCGAGGCGCGGGAGGTGTCGCTGCAGGCAGCGGTGGCGCAGGCGGCGGCAGTGGAGGAGCGTGCGATGCGTGTGTTGCGCGAGCAGGAGTCGCTTCAGGCGAGCGCGGCGGCGGCGGAGGCGTCGCGTGCGGCGGTGGAGTCGGAGTCGGCGCGGCTGCGCGAGGCGCTTGCGGCGGCGTCGGCGCAGGTGGAGGCGGCGGAGGCGGGTGCCGAGTCTGCGCGTGCGGAGGCGGAGGCGCAGTCGGGCTGGCTGCAGAGCGCGCTCGAGGCGGAGGCTGCGCGGGCCGCGTCGGAGGCGGAGGCTTCGCTGTCGGCGCGGGAGGCGAGGTCGCGTCTGGCGGCGGCGGAGGCTGCTGCGGCGGAGCTGCGCGAGTCGCTTGCGGCGGCGGAGGGCCGGCTGTCGGCGGCGGAGGAGGCGGAGCGCGCCGCGCGTGCGGAGGCCCTCTCGCTTCGCGAGGCGGCGGCCGCCGAGGCTCTGCAGCTGCGGGCCGAGGTGGATGCGGCGAGGGCGCACCCGCCGACGCCGCTGCGCGAGGAGCTGACGGCGGTGCGGGCCCGGGCGACGGAGCTCGAGGCGGCCGCCACGGGCGCCGAGGCCGCGGCGGAGGAGCGGGTGGCGGCGTCGGAGGCGTCGCGTGCGGCGGCGGAGTCGGAGTCGGCGCGGCTGCGCGAGGCGCTTGCGGCGGCGTCGGCGCAGGTGGAGGCGGCGGAGGCGGGTGCCGAGTCTGCGCGTGCGGAGGCGGAGGCGCAGTCGGGCTGGCTGCAGAGCGCGCTCGAGGCGGAGGCTGCGCGGGCCGCGTCGGAGGCGGAGGCTTCGCTGTCGGCGCGGGAGGCGGGGTCGCGTCTGGCGGCGGCGGAGGCTGCTGCGGCGGAGCTGCGCGAGTCGCTTGCGGCGGCGGAGGGCCGGCTGGCGGCGGCGGAGGAGGCGGAGCGCGCCGCGCGTGCGGAGGCCCTCTCGCTTCGCGAGGCGGCGGCCGCCGAGGCTCTGCAGCTGCGGGCCGAGGTGGATGCGGCGAGGGCGCACCCGCCGACGCCGCTGCGCGAGGAGCTGACGGCGGTGCGGGCCCGGGCGACGGAGCTCGAGGCGGCCGCCACGGGCGCCGAGGCCGCGGCGGAGGAGCGGGTGGCGGCGGCGGAGGCGTCGCGTGCGGCGGCGGAGTCGGAGTCGGCGCGGCTGCGCGAGGCGCTTGCGGCGGCGTCGGCGCAGGTGGAGGCGGCGGAGGCGGGTGCCGAGTCTGCGCGTGCGGAGGCGGAGGCGCAGTCGGGCTGGCTGCAGAGCGCGCTCGAGGCGGAGGCTGCGCGGGCCGCGTCGGAGGCGGAGGCTTCGCTGTCGGCGCGGGAGGCGAGGTCGCGTCTGGCGGCGGCGGAGGCTGCTGCGGCGGAGCTGCGCGAGTCGCTTGCGGCGGCGGAGGGCCAGCTGGCGGCGGCGGAGGAGGCGGAGCGCGCCGCGCGTGCGGAGGCCCTCTCGCTTCGCGAGGCGGCGGCCGCCGAGGCTCTGCAGCTGCGGGCCGAGGTGGATGCGGCGAGGGCGCACCCGCCGACGCCGCTGCGCGAGGAGCTGACGGCGGTGCGGGCCCGGGCGACGGAGCTCGAGGCGGCCGCCACGGGCGCCGAGGCCGCGGCGGAGGAGCGGGTGGCGGCGGCGGAGGCGTCGCGTGCGGCGGCGGAGTCGGAGTCGGCGCGGCTGCGCGAGGCGCTTGCGGCGGCGTCGGCGCAGGTGGAGGCGGCGGAGGCGGGTGCCGAGTCTGCGCGTGCGGAGGCGGAGGCGCAGTCGGGCTGGCTGCAGAGCGCGCTCGAGGCGGAGGCTGCGCGGGCCGCGTCGGAGGCGGAGGCTTCGCTGTCGGCGCGGGAGGCGGGGTCGCGTCTGGCGGCGGCGGAGGCTGCTGCGGCGGAGCTGCGCGAGTCGCTTGCGGCGGCGGAGGGCCGGCTGGCGGCGGCGGAGGAGGAGGCCCATCGTCTTCGCGGTGCGCTCGAGGACGCCACGAGACAGCTCGCAGCGGAGGAGGGTGCGGCGGCGGCGGCGACGGCGATGGTCGAGGCCGAGTCGATCGTGGCGGAGGCGGAGGCGGAGAGCTTGCTAGTGGCGCTGCGGGCGGAGGCGAGCGAGCTGGCTGTCGCGCGCGAAGAGGCGGAGGTCGGGCTGGCGCGCGAGCGCGAGCGTGCCGACAGCGCCATGTGCAGGGCGGCGGAGGCGGACGCGGTTGCAGGTGCCGCCGAGGCACGAGCGTCGGCGGCCGAGGCTGTCGTGGCCGCCACAGAGACGGCGCTCGCTTCGGCAGAGGCGGCGGCGGCGGAGGCGTGTGCAGCGGAGGCATCGGCGCGGGCAGCGGAGGTGGATGCGTCTTGCGGCCGGGCCGCGGCTCTGGAGGAGGCTGGCAGCCTCCGCACGCGGCTGGCGGCGGCGGAGGAGGCGGAGCGCGCCGCGCGTGCGGAGGCCCTCTCGCTTCGCGAGGCGGCGGCCGCCGAGGCTCTGCAGCTGCGGGCCGAGGTGGATGCGGCGAGGGCGCACCCGCCGACGCCGCTGCGCGAGGAGCTGACGGCGGTGCGGGCGGAGGCGGCGGCGGCTGCGTCGGCCCTTTCCGCCGCGGAGGCGATGAGCGCGCATTTGGTTCGCCTTGCCGAGTCCGCCGGCGAGGCGCGGGAGGTGTCGCTGCAGGCAGCGGTGGCGCAGGCGGCGGAAGTGGAGGAGCGTGCGATGCGTGTGTTGCGCGAGCAGGAGTCGCTTCAGGCGAGCGCGGCGGCGGCGGAGGCGTCGCGTGCGGCGGCGGAGTCGGAGTCGGCGCGGCTGCGCGAGGCGCTTGCGGCAGCGGCGGCGCAGGTGGAGGCGGCGGAGGCGGGTGCCGAGTCTGCGCGTGCGGAGGCGGAGGCGCAGTCGGGCTGGCTGCAGAGCGCGCTCGAGGCGGAGGCTGCGCGGGCCGCGTCGGAGGCGGAGGCTTCGGCGCGGGAGGCGGGGTCGCGTCTGGCGGCGGCGGAGGCTGCTGCGGCGGAGCTGCGCGAGTCGCTTGCGGCGGCGGAGGGCCGGCTGGCGGCGGCGGAGGAGGCGGAGCGCGCCGCGCGTGCGGAGGCCCTCTCGTTTCGCGAGGCGGCGGCCGCCGAGGCTCTGCAGCTGCGGGCCGAGGTGGATGCGGCGAGGGCGCACCCGCCGACGCCGCTGCGCGAGGAGCTGACGGCGGTGCGGGCCCGGGCGACGGAGCTCGAGGCGGCCGCCAAGGAAACCGAGGCCGAAATGGCTGCTACGAGTCGCGAGGCGCGCCGGCAGATCGAGGCGGTTGCCGCTCAAGGGCAGCGCCTTGTCGATCTTGAGGAGGCTCTCTGCACCGCAGAGGGCAGGGTAGTAGCGGCCGAGGCGGCCGAGGTGGCCGCAGCCGACGCACAGGCAGCGGTCGAGGCGGCCGAGGCGGCTGCAGCCTCCTCAATGGCCGAGGCTGAGTCTGAGCGAGAGGCTCGGCGGGGGGCGGAGCGGGCGGCGTTGGCCGCAGCAGCGGCGCTCGAGCAGTCGCGCGCTCAGGTCGACACTCTGCGGACGAGCCTTAGCGCGGACATGCGAGCCGCCGCCGCGCTCGGCTCGTGGCAGCTCCTCGCGCAGGAGGCAGAGGCGCGGGAGGCGGAGGCCGCGGCGCTGAGTGAGCTGCAAGCTGCGCGGGATCAGGCTGCGGAGGCTGCGCAGGCGGCGGGTGCGGCCGAGGCGGCGGCTGCCGAGGCGGCGGCTGTGGCCGAGGGCGTGCGCACCGAGGCGGAGGCCGCCCGCGCCATGAGCGAGCTGGCGGTGGCCGCTGCGTGGGCGGAGGCCGAGTCGGCCAAAATTCGTGTCGAGGCGGCGGCCGTGTCGCGGGACGCGGCCGCGGCGGAGGCGCGCGACGCGGCGGCCGCGAGTGACCTGGCGGCCAAGGCGGCGAAGGAGGCGGAGGCGCAGCGTGCCCACGCGGCCGCTGAGGCCGGGTTTGAGCTGCGGGTGCATCGAGCCGAGGCGCAGGCGGAGGCGCAGGCGCAGGCGGAGGCGCAGGCAGTCGCCCTCGCGGCGCAGCGGCACGAGTTTGCTCTCGATTTGGCCAGGCTCGAGGCGGAGCTGGTCGCCGTCGCGGCCGAGGCGCAAGCGCGCAGGCAGGGCGAGGAGCAGCTGGCGTTTGCGGTCGAGGTGCTGCGGAGCGAGCTCAGCTCCGAGTGCGAGGCTCGCGCCAGCGCAGAGGCCGCCGGCCAGGCAGCGTTGCGCGAGGCAGAGGCGCTGCACGGTCGGCTGGAGGCTGCTGCGCTCGAGGCGGCCGAGGCGGCGGCGGCGACCGACGCCGCCGTCGATAGCTTCGAGGCCAAGGCGGTCGACGATGCCGCGCCCGAGGCGGCCACGGAGGCGCTGTGGTCCGAACTCGAGTCCGAGACTGCCGCGCGCTGTGTGGCGGAGGCGGCGGCGGCGGCAGCGCGGGCCGAGGCGGCGGAGGCGGCGGAGGCGGTCAGGGTGGCGGCGGAGGCGGAGGCGGCGCTGTCGCAGGAGCTAGCGGAGGAGCGCGCTCGCGCCGCCGCGGCGGAGGAGCGGGCGGCCGCCGCGGCGGCCTCCACGGCCGCCGCGGCGGCCACTAGGCTGGCTGAGATGGAGTCGCAGCTGGAGGGCGCCATCGCGGAGGCAGCCTCCACGCGGGCGGACCTGTTCGTGGCCCAACAGCAGGCGGCGGCGGGCGGCGCGGCGGCGAGTGCGCAGCTCTCCTCCTACATCGCCTCTCCGAGCGACGACGGCCGCGCGCCCTCTGTGTCGAGCGCGAGGGTTGGCCGCGGCGCCGGCGCTGCCGTCGGGGCCGCCGCCGACCGGCCGGCGAGGTGCGAGCCGGTGGCGTGCTCACCTTGCGTGTGGTCGGGCCTCGGCGTGCGCGTGGAGCGGGTGTCCACCGCACCGGCCGCCTCGCTCACGCCCGCCGCGTCGGGCATCACGCCCCCGTTGGCCGAGCCGCTCAGCCGCACGCTCGAGGGGTCGCTCGGACCGCCGGCGGACATGGACATGTCTGGGAAGCTTCCGTGCCCGTCGCCGAGCCTGCGCGCCGCGGCGCAGCTGTCCGAGCAGCTGGTCGCGTCGCTGCAGGGCGCCGAGGCGTGGTCGCTCCTCCCCGAGCTCGAGCTCGCCCTCGACGATGCACGCGCACAGTCGAGCGGTCGGCTGAGGCGCGTCGCTGAGCTCGCACGCCTCGAGGAGCGCTTCGCCGCCGCGACAACGGATCGCGTCGCCGAGCTGGCAGAGTGCCGCGAGCGAGAGGCGAGCGCCGAGGAGCAGGCGGCCGCGTCGCGCGCCCGTGCGGCCGCGCTCGCCGCCGCGCTCGAGCAGGCGCGCGACCGCGCCGACGCGGCGGAGGCGGAGCTGGCGGCGGCCCGCGAGCAGGCGGAGGCGGCGCATGGCGCGGCCGCGCTCCCCGCCGGGGCGGCGGGCTCGTCGGCTGGCGGCGCGTCCTCGAGCGGGGAGCCGCCGGCGGGGGCGGGGGCGGGGCCGGCGCTGGAAGCCGCGGCCGGGGCAGTGCGGGTGGCGGCTGGCGAGCCCGGCGGGGGCTTGCCCGCGGTTGCGCCGCCGCCGGCCGTCTGCACGGAGGAGCCGCTGGACGCGCTGCCCGCGCGCGAGGAGGCTCCGTGGCGGAGCCATCCCGACGCCGCGTCCCCACGGCCGGCGCTGTCGCCGCGGTCCCACAACGCCGCCGGCGACGCGCTGGTCAAGCGCCGCTCCATCGCGGGGACCTTTGACTCGGTCGCGGGGCCCCGGGACGGCGCGGGGCATGCGGACGGGTCGGGGGCGCCGGTCTTTGGCGCGGCGCCGTTTGGTGTACACGCGGACGGCTCGCCTCGCAGCGAGGCAGAATGAGGCACGATGAGTCGGCCCGGGGGTCGGCGCCACCGTTTGCAGCACGCCTCTCCTTTTTTGCGTTCGCAGAGGGTCGTTGACTACATATAAGGAGGTCTCGTGTTGTGTGTGTGTGTGATTCGGTGTGTGTGAGGTTACCACCTCATGTAGCATGTGCATGTGCATGTCATATACGGCTTTATTGGTGACAGAGTCGGCAAAGAGCCTTCGTTGTAAGCCAGTCCCGGCAGCGGCACCCGGGCGCCGGTCTCCAGTGGCACTGGCCACTGCGCACTGCCACTGGAGGGGACAGGAGATACGGGGTGCGGACCCTGAGTTGAACAGGGGTTGTGCGCCAAGCCCTCCTGCTCGGCTCCAGCGAGTAGACAAGTGTTACCATCAACAGAGGAGAAGGATATGACCTCAGGGCTGATGTGACCAAGCGCTGGTAGCGTGGTTTTACCTCACACCCATGGTCTCACAGTGTGCCGGCAGTCGCCGAGCAGTGTCGCTCACACAAGCCGCAGCACGAGTGACTGAGGGCCAGTGAGGGCGAGCCCATCGCTGTCACAGCTGTGGCAGCCGCACAGTAGGCTGTGCCAACTGTGCAGAGCGTATGAGCAGCAGAGGAGCTGCTCTCCAGGCTTCAGGCGCAAAGAGCTGCATGCCACCGAAAGCGCTGTCGAGGTTCGCCGAGCGCGGCGAAATCGGGGGACGCCGTCACCGACGAGCGCGTTGGAGTATTCACTCCGGACAAAGACGGCCACACGCACACGAGCTGCGGTCGTGTGGCCGTCATAGCGGCGAGGCGCGGGACCGTCTGTGGCGAAGTGGGTCGCGTCCCCCGATTTCCTCAACTCAGGGTCCGCTCCCTCTAGGCGATAAGTCCCCATAAGCCCCTTGCAAGCAGCAAGGGCGAGGGCGAGGGGGGCGGAGGGGCTGGGAACAAGGGGCGACGGGGCCACTCTCCCCGCTCAGCTTGTAGAACCGTTGACGCAATATAAAACATGCACCAGATTCACGAGCTCGTACGCCGGCGAATTGTCTAATGAGCTACGAGCCGCCAGCTCCGCGCCCCTCGACCCGCGGCCTCACCCGCCCCCCCCGCCCGCCGCGCCCGCCGCGCCCGCCCCGCCCGCCCCGCCCACCGAGGCCGCACGCGAAGCGAACCGATCGCGGCGCCGACCAGCAAAAATCGCATTGGCGCGCCTCCCCGTCCAGCTCAGCTGCCGCCGCCCCTGCAAGGCTCGGAATCTCAGCCTCCGCCGCCTCGGCAAGCGCCTCGAGCCGCGGCAATGCCTCCGCGAGCGGCATCCGCTTCTTCTTCCTCTCGTATGCCAGCCCGACCACGAGCCGCGCCAGCTCCTCGGCCTGCGCCGCCGACCAGCCCGCGTCGGCCGCCGCGATGCTCTCCGCCGTGTCGGGCTCCTCCAATTCATCCTCGCACGCGTTGAGCAAGCCGACGGCGCCGCGGCCGGTCAGGCTTACGAGCAGCGTGATGCCGAGTGCGAAGCCGTCAGTGAGTTGCGAAGCCTGGTTGTCGTTGAGAATGATCTGATCAATGTAGCCAGGCTTTCCGAAGATGCGCTGCGTCGACAGGTGCGAAACCTGTCCACTGCTGCCGGCCGTCGCCTCTGCAGCGCGCGCGAGGCCCACGTCGGCGAGGTAGCCGTTGCCGCGCTCGTCGAGCAGGATGTTGCCCGCCGACACGTCGCAATGCAGAGTCATCGGCGAGAGCGTGTGCAGATAGTGCAATGCACTCGCCGCGTCGCGCAGCACGCGGAGCCGTGCGGCCGAGGAGAGCGGCGGAGGCGGCGTCTCGAAGCCGAGCATGCGGAGCCGCTGCAGCGCGGCTGGAGTGCGGTAGAGGCGATCCTCGAGGCTGCCGCCGCGGCAGAGGGGGTAGACGAGGCACGCTCTCGCCGGCGCCAAGCAGGCGCCGAGCAGAGGGAGCAGGGACGGGTGGCACGCCGCGCTGAGCGTGCGCACCTCGCTCTGCAGCTCGGCGAGGCCTTGGGCGCCGACACCGACCAGCGCCGTCTTGACAGCGAACCCGCAAGCGACGCGCGGAAGCGACGGCAGCGCGTCGGCGCGGTAGACGCGCCCGAAGCCTCCCTCGCCCACCTTGCGCGCCTCGGCAAAGCCGTCGGTCGCCGTGATGAGCTCGTCGAGAGGGACGGCGGCGGGCGGGTCTTCGGCGCTGGCGCGCAGATGGAGCCTCAGCGCGTCGCATGATGCTCTCGAGTCCAGCTGCTGCCGTTCCATGCCTTGAGTCCCTCA